TTGGATCTGGAGCCTCTTGGGCAGAGCACCAGTGCGGGCTCAGGCACTTTGCTGTGCTTGCAGTCACTTGCAGGACCTACGTTATGAGCTGCAGTTCATTGATGCTTGTGTCAGGCTTGGATGCACTCGGGACAGGCTGTTACGCTAGCTGGGACTGGCCGCCAGTTTTGCCATGGTTGGGACTGTTTGGTTGGAGCTACAGTGGGAAAGGCCAGCCACCATTTGTGCCAGTTTGGGGGCCTTATGAAATATAGATATTATTAGCCTTATTTTATAGATGAGGAAACCGAGGTACAGAATAAGATACGGAAGTTAAATGATTTGCCCAAGATCATATAGCTAAACAGTATCAGAGTCCTGTATTTGAACTTGATCAGTATGGCTCCAGAGTCCATATACTTAACCATTACACTGTAGCTCAGACAAGTATTTATTAAGTCTTTTCTTGTTCCAGCACAGTATGCCAAGAGTCTTGGATACACAGCAATGAACAATCAGGAGAAATCAGTTCTTAATTCTCTGTGTCAGGGAGAGCCAGATACTTTAAGGACAGTTATCAGTGAAAGTCTCTGAGGCATTTGAGCAGAGACCTGGATGTTAAGAAGGATTTAATCATACAGGCATCTGTGAGAGGGTGTTCTGAGCAGAACAGTAAATGTGATGGCACAAATTAAGAATGAGCTTGGCTTGTTCAAGAGACAGAAGGTGGCACATGTACTGAACTATCTTCACTTCCTGAGTGAACTATCTTTCTCACTTCCTTCCTCTCTATGACTGACTGTTCCTTTTGTGTGGAATGCCCATTCAGTGCCCCTTTCACCAGTCTACATTAATTGTCCTGTAAGGCTTCAGTTTAGGGGTCCCCTCTGGGAAGTCAATACAGCCCCTTACCACCACATGGAGTAGGTGCCCTTCCCATGTTCCCAGCTGGCCTCACACTTATCACACCCTACTGAGTTTGTTGTTTTTACTTTAGGAGTTCCTGGAAGAGGGGCACTATCTAAGCTCAGAATACCCAGTCCTTAACATATATTGGGAGACATCCACGTTAGTTGAATGGATATTACCAAGGTCACATAGTAAATGGCAGAACCAGGACTGAAAATGAACTGTGTCTATTCTTAAAATTCATGGTTTTTTTACAATGTGCTGACAGATATAGTTTGAGAAGTATGAAATGTCTTGGCTTTCATCTAGCACAAGAATGTCAGAGATGGTGGGTGATTCGTCATGTGTTGGCAGCAGTTGTCTCAGTGCCATTTGTTCTTTGTGAGTGGTATAGGGTTGTGAGTTTGGCATAATGAGCTGAGCTGTCAGCAGCCTAATGGCAAAAACAAGGACATGTTTGACCAGTGGATTTAGCTTCGTGTTGGCTCTTTGGGAGAACAAGGGCAGGTGGTATGTGTAGTTGCCAAAGACTGGCTGTCGAGGTTTTCTCCTCTGGCTAGAAATTATTCTAACTTTCAATTTGGTGATAGACATTCTTCAAACGTGTTTTAAGAAAGGAAAAGATTAGTAGGATAATTAAAATGACACAGCATGATCCAAGAGAAATAGAACTGAATTGGGAGTCAGGAAGACCACATGTTGGCTTTAATACTTTGGATAAAATAAGCATTGGTTTCCCTGTGCGAAACTGGGAGACTGTTAAGTGCACATTCTGAAGTGTAACTAGAAGACACCATGGCTTCTTCCTGTTAGAGAAGCTGGGACTGAGGAGCAAATCCGGATAAAGCAGCCCAAGATGTGGGGAGTTCTCTGCTTTCTCATGCAGTTCCAGTGCTTTCCAGTAAATGGATTTGGGTGCTCTCTGATGTGCTTTGAATTCTTTAACATCAAGGCTTAAATGAATTCTTTAACATCAGGGCTTTTAAATGTCTGTTTGGAAACCCATTGTATCTTCCTAAGAGCCCTCTTATTCTTTTCAGTAATTCTGCAGCACTGTCATTTTTCCAGAGCTAAAAAATAAGCAGATTCAAGGCATGATATCCCTTGATTTCATGCTCCAGAGTTTTTTAGGGGCTTTTATTTCATCAGAATGTCTATGTTTTAAATCCCAGGGACATTCCTAAATAAACTATGAGGCTATGATTTATGAAATAATCTACGTTTGGTCTTGTCAAAGCTTTTTCAGTTCCAATCCATAAGTAGATCTTTGAGTTCATACTTCATGGTAAAACCAGTACAGACAGTCCCCAACTTACAATGTTCTGACTTAGAATTTTCAGACTTTATGATGGGGCAAGAGTGACACACATTCAGTAGAAGCCAGCTAGGCTAAGCCATGATGCCTGGTAAGTTAGGCATATTAAGTGCATTTTCAGTTTTTGATATTTTCAACTTATGATGGGTTTTTCAGGATATAACCCCATCATAAGTCAAGGAGCATCTGTACCATTTTAGAAACTTAAAACACTAAGATTTCTAAAAGTCATTATGGTAATAGACCTGTAGTATCTATTCTAATTCTTGGTTGTGTAAAAACCAGAGATAGATATAATTGTTAATACTTTATACTTGGTATTCACTAGAAGTCTCTCATCTTGTGACATTTTGAGACTCTCTACTTATTAGTCCAACAAAATCCTAGAAGGGAAGAGAATTTGTCCATTATTTTTAGGGGTGATGTAATTATTGTGGCTATCATAGATGAAAGAGTCCTGGGATGGTGTTTATGGTACTTGTGCCAAATCTTAGTGTCTCTCCATGTGTACTGGAACTTACAGAGCTTTTCCCTTTCCCCCATAGAGCAAACCACTATTATGGAGAGCCTCCCATCAGGCAGCTGATGGCCCTTAATTCCTAGTAAGACAGGCAATCAACATTTTATATCTCTGGGTTTTATTATTTTGCCGTTTACCCTGGTCTTTATATAACTGCCATGGACATATTAGTAATACCTGTGGACTTGGCTTCACTTTGTTAATATTCTGATCATCACTGAAGATCTGTTAGTCACACATTAGGGTCTTGTTGCCTTAATCTGATTCTGTACATCATGTTTCTCCTTGTCTCTTCTCTCTTGACATGATCTCTTCCATATTCATACTCATTCTTGTTGCATTATTCCAAGCTGCTTGGTCTGCCCAGGGGACTCGGAACTAGGCAAGATATCTCTAACCTAGGTCTCTAGAGACGTTGTTGTGGGGTTTTCTTTTCCTCCTCGTAACATATGGATTGCTTTTCCCATGAGCTGCCTGACACTGAGTTGTCATTTCTGACAGCTGCAGAATTACACTAATTCAGGCCAGGATCTGTATATCACTGCCTTATTAGCTATCAGGAAGCCTGGCAGTGGTCTGAAGATGTTTTCTTGCCTTTCATGTCTGTACTATGGTGTTTTTTTGGTTTTGGTTTTGTTTTCATTTTAATTAAAAGTACGAGGATTAGTAGTAGGATATTTTTCATTTTTGTTGTTTTTTAGGCGAGGCAACCCTTGGTTGACCTCACAGATTGCAAGGACCTTGTCAGCTTACAATGCCTTAGTTTTTATATTTTATGCCTACAGCACCTGGTCCTCCTAGGTGGTCTCCCATCCAAGTACTGACCAGGCCCAACCGTGCTTAGCTTTCAAGATCAGACAGAATCGGGCTTGTTCAGGGTGGCATGGCTATAGACAGTAGGGTATTTTTTTTAATCCCCATTTGGCCTCTCCTAAGATGATATAAGTTTTCTCAACAATTTTGAAGACTGTTACTTCCTTTGAGTAAATGATAGCTTTTATATTTATAAGCTGTTGACTTTGTTTCAGTTACTTCTATTTCCTATGCATAAAATGGGGGAAATACTGCATCATAGGATTGTGGTGAGGCTTAAACGAGGATAAATACTAAGTACTGGTACAGAATAGGTACTTGGTAAACCTAAGTTCCCCCTGTCTCCCTGGTGGATTGCCTTCACCACTCTAAAGCTTTTCCTAGCCTATGACCAAAGTGACTTCCATGTGTATGCTTAGGTTCTACATAGGCCTGCACTGTCCACTACAATAGCCACCAGCCACATGTGGCTGTTGAACCAAAACATATATGAAATAGTCCAAATCGAGACTATTTAAAATACTTGTTTAAAATACCAGATTTCGAAGACTTGGTTCAAAAGCAAAAAAGTAAAATCTCATTAATTTTCTTGTATTGCTTACATGTTGAAATAGTAATATTTTTATATATCAGGTTAAAATAGGTACAGTTTCCCCTTTTTTAACTTTAATGTGGTCACTAAATAATTTTAAATTACATATGTGGTCCTATTATGTTTCTCTTGGACTGTGCTTATTTGAGTCCTGAAGAGGCATTGTATGCAGAAGGAAAATAGTCTCACGAACCAAGGAATTAGGCAACGTTTAAATGCAGATGTATAAATACAAGAGAATACATGTAATATAACACATTAAGCAGTTATATTTAATTTCTAGAATATTTGTTTAAAACATCTAAGTTTTGTGCTCTTAAAGGAAACTTATTGATGCACAGTGGAAATAAGTTTTCTCCAGTGTTCAAAGCTTATTACAAATAATTTTTTAGCAATGTTGTCACTTTGAAAAACTGAAGAGTTATATCTTCCTTGGTGGCAAGTATTTAACCTTTGAGGTCTTTGAAAATGTCAGGAGTTCCTTTGAAGTCAAATTTAAATGAATAAGAGTAATCAAGTTGTAAAACACTTTGTATAAAATAATTAGACCAACATTTTTCTCATGATTCATAACAGACTACAGGCAATCCCTGTGGAGTTTTAAAAAATGTTTTGATCAATAACAATATGGGTAGAATAAGTATATAACTCCCCAGGGGCATATATTATAACCCTTTATGCCTTTGTTTTGTTTTTTTAAAATTATTATAGTTATATTTGAATATATGAACCAATAAGACCTAAGTAAATATGGGCTGTACAAAAGAAGTGCTATTTGTCTCATGGGTGGTGTGGGGGGAAGAAAGTATAGATAGAAAAGGAAAACGAGACCAAATTTTCTACATTGCTTGTTTTTTCCCTCATGTTCATAGATGCTTGTTGCCAACATTGACTTGGGTCCTACTATTTTGGACATTGCTGGCTATAACCTGAATAAGACACAGATGGATGGGATGTCTTTATTGCCAATTTTGGTGAGTATAAACCCTTCTATCAGGTCTGAGCCAAGATTCTGAAATAAATTCCAGGTTGTGTAAATTTAGACTTAAAAATTTAAATCTTAAAACTGTTAAATTTGGGGAACAGATAATAGAATTTTTCTTTTATCTGTAGCAAGAAGTTTTCTTTTAAAAAAAGACTGGACCACGTATAAAGAGTCTATATCCTTCCTTTCTCTCCTCATCCCCCCCCGCCCCAAAAAATCATCATAAACAAGGTTAAGACAGGTGATAAATTGGGAAAATATTTACAACTTTTGTGGAAAAGGTTAATAAATCCTAATGGATGAGTTCTTAGAAAGCAACTATTAATATCTTAATAGAAAAATGGGCAAAAGAAGTAACTAACCAACTCATAGAGGAATTAAAAATGGCCAAAGTAAATGCAAAAAGATTGTCAGTGCCAAAGAAATGTTTAACCGAAGGAGGCCTTTATCTCCTATATAACTGGCAGAGATTAAAAGGATTAATACCCAGTATTTGCAGAATTCTGAGAAAATGTGAACTACATAGACTCTGTTCATAAAAGTGTAATCAGTATAAGCTATCAGAAAGCTAATTTAATAAGACATATCACTTCAGAATACACACATCAAGCAGTCCCATTTAGGAATTTATTTTAAGAAAACAAAATTCATTCAAAAAATATTCAAGTACCTAATTATGTGCCTGGTACTGCACAGAGCTAAATATAAAAAATGTACAAATAATATTAATAGAAGAAAATGGAAAACCTAAATGTCCAGTAGGGAATTGGTTAAATTGCTGCACAATTAATAGAATATTAAACCAACACTAAATGATATAGATCTGTATATGTTGACTTGGAAAGACGCCTGTCACATACTATAGGGAGAAAAGGAGGTTTTACAACAGCATCTCTTCTCTATTAAAAATATTTGAATATGTTTAAGCATAGAGAAGTTTGGAAGGATCAGTACTAAAATATTTTAGGCATATGGTGACTCTTACTCATTGATATGTCCAAATCTACTACCATTTATTATTAGGTAGCATACTCATTCAAGAGAATACATGTAACTCACATTAGTTACGAAATACAAGAAATACCCATGAACCCCTTGTCCCATTTAAGAATTCGGTTATTCCCAGTCCTAGTGCATCTACCAGTGTGCTCCTCCCCATCCTATCCCTCACCTGTCCCATGGGAGTGATCACTTTACTGAATGTCATGGTTATCATTCTTTGGCTTTTATTTTTTAGTAAGTATCATGTACATATCCCTAAACAACTTACCTAGTTTTGACTTTGTTTCGCGCTTTAAAAATGATATTCTATTGGATGTCATCTGGGACTTTTTTCAGTTCAGCATTGTTTCCAGATTGATCCATGTTGGTCACAGATGCCTAATATTCCATTGTATGAATGCATGACAACTTACCTGTTTCCTTGTCAGTCAGTGGACATTTGTGTTGTTTTAGGAACAGTGCTGCTATAGTATTTATACATCTCTCCCAGTGAACATGTGTGTATACCAAGGTTACAGGACCTGCACATGTTCATTTCTACAACTATTACTGAGTTAATTTACAAAATGGCCATTAACTTACATTCTCACCTGCTATGAATGGGAATTCCTTTTCTGTATGAAACTGTTAGACAACTTAATTTCTGCCAATCTAGTGGGTAAAAATGACCAAAATTGTATTTAGTCCTATAGTGCATTTCTTTATTAATAAGGTGAATCTTTTTTTCTAATAGCTTAAGTCACTTACCATACATTTCACTAAAGTTTACAATTCACCAGTTTCGGGTATATTCACAGAGTTGTGCAGCCACACCATAATCTAATTTTAGAACATTCTCATCACCCCCAAAACATTAGCAGTCACTCTCTCATTGCTCCCTCTTCCAGCACCAGGCAAGCACTAATCTATGTTCTGTCTCTATAGATTTGCCTATTGTGGACATTTTGTGTTAAACAGAATCAAACATGTGACTTCCTGTGACTAGTTTCTTTCACTGAGCATAATGTTTTCAAGGATCATCCACAGTACTTCATTAGTTTTTATTGCTGAACAATATTCTGTTGTATGGATATACCACATTTATTCATTCATTCGTAGGTTGATAGACATTTGGGTTTCCCCTGTCTGGCTATTAATAATGCTGCTGTGAACATTTGTGTACAAATTTTTGATGGACAGATGTTTTCAGTTCTCTTGGATATATAACTAGAAGTAGAATTGCTGGGCCACATGGTGACTTTATGTTTAACCTTTTGAAGAACTGTCATGCCGTTTCTGAAGCAACTACACCATTTTATAAATTCCCACGAGTATTATACAAGGGTTCCAATTTATACACATCCTCACCAACACTTGCCGTTATCACATATCATGGGGGTGTAAAGTGGTATCTCATTGTGGTTTTGATTTGCCTTTTCCTAACGACTGATGATATTGAACATCTTGTCATGTGTTTAGTGGACATTTGTATGTCTTTGGAGAAATGTCTATTCAGATCCTTGCCTATTCCTAATTGAGTTTTTGATCGGTGAATCATTTTTATATATGCCTTTTGTGTATCTTCCTTGTGAAGTGACTGTTTTGTCCATCATATTCCCCATTCGTGACTTATCTTTTCCCTTCATTAAGATACGAGAACACAGGAGTTGAATGTATAAATTGTCTCTTTTATGATTAGTGTTCTTTGTCTCTTGTTTATAAAAATGCTTCTGAACCTCGAGGTCAGAAAACAGTTCTGGATTTTCTTCTAAACTTTTTGTGCTTACATTCAAGTCCTGGATATATCTAGAATTGATTTTCTTGTACGAATTGGGATCCCATTTCAGTTTTTTCTCTGTACTCAAATTGTCTTTTCTAGTCCATGGATCTCTCATGCCAGTATCATACTGTCTTGTTATAAAGCTGTATAATTTAAGTCTTTGGGCACACCTCTCTCACTGATCTTAGGATCCTAGCTACCACTTACATAAACTTCAAAAACAGCTTTTCAGATTACCTGAAAAATCATATTGGCCTTTGGTTGGAATTGAAATTTTACATCTTTTAACTTTCTTCATATAATTCTTATTACCAGATACTGTGGGAGCCCAGGCAGACTGCCCCAAGATATCCCACAATGGTGTGTTGATTGATTAAAGTTACTTAAGAAACTGCCTGTTCAAGAAGAAAACCCCGACCTCTCTATCCCCCTGTAAGCAGGAGATGAATCTCCCATTTGATAGCTGTCCGTTTTGCTTCTGAAGGTTGAGAGACAACCTTATCACAGAGTTAAAAGAATCCAGAGTCAAAAGCTTATATAAACAAGCTTTGTACTGCCTTTAGTAATTTACTACCGAGCCCCAAACTTTGTTTAGATTCCTAATGAATACCCAAACCTGGCTTAGATTCCTTTCTAATGAGCACTAACTTTATTTTTCCTGTCACTTTGTCACAAATTTATAGTTTGTCTAAAAAGTATAAAAGTACCTGGTTCGATCATTTCTTTGAGCCTCATGATCTGAGCATCATATTGCAATTTCCCCATGAACACATATTAAATTGGTTTTTCTCCTTAGTCTTGTGTCAGTTTACTCTTGTACTTCTAGTCCAGTCATAAGGACTAAAAGGTAGAGGGGGGAAATTCTCCCCCTCCCCAACAAGTTCATGGTGTCTTTGTTCTGACCATGAAGTAGTACTTTGAAACCATTGCAGTCCTTAGCACACCAGCCCTGTTTAATATGTTAGTGCTTGTTGTGTGTATTAAACTATAAATTTCTTAGTATGAGCTTAGAGTAGTTCTTATGTAGAGTTTATTGTTTATTCTAGTCTGGACTTCCAGCTTCTTGCCCTGTAACTGATATTCTTGCTTAGCCACTTTGTAGGTTCATGTTCCTGACCAGCCTCACAGAAATAGTCTTGAGCAGTAACTATTAAATGTTCAAAGCATTTGACCATCACTTGTAAGCGCTCTGTAAATACCAGACATGATACTCAGTAGCTTTCATATGCATCAGTTGTAGTCTTTCCCTTTAGTTACTTAGTGAACAGTATAATTAGTTGTGACTCCCAAATCCCCTTTAGCGGAATACATAATTTTTTGGTCTTTTTCAGTCTATATGTCTCGTAGGAACTACTTTTGCTCTTCTTTCTAGAAAGGTGCCACTAATGTGACCTGGCGATCAGATGTCCTGGTGGAATATCAAGGAGAAGGTCGTAATGTCACTGACCCAACATGCCCTTCTCTGAGTCCTGGAGTATCTGTGAGTAATAGTTTGAGTTGGCTTAGCTTTCTTACCAGCAGCACAGTGAGGCATTAGTATAGATAGATGTCAAGTACTGAAACCTTTAATCTGAGTCCTACTCCTCCGTCACATGACTGTGGGAAATTAATAGATGCACAATGCAATAATTCTGAAAATGAAAATAATCCTAAAAATGATGGTGTTGACCTATTGTCATAATGTGTACTTCAAATTCTTCTAATTTTTGTAACAAGTGCACACATCTACCTATATTTCTTTATCAACACCCCTTCCTGTTTTCCTACCCTTCAAACAGCAGTACCATTTTTTATTAGGAATGTTATCAATGGCATCCAGTTGAGACATGGGGATCCCATCTGTAGCCATGCCACCATGAGGGTCTTACATTGGTGGCTACCAGGCTGGTCGTGGAGGTGATAACAGCATCGGCCTCGCTTTGGAGAATGAAAAATAGGCTTCCATTTTAGCAAGGTGTTAAGCTATAGTTAAGAACCAACCAAAAGTCGATATAGGAGAAATGAAGAAATGAGTTAGAGTTTAAGTCTTTTTTAGTGATAAGAACACTCATAAATTACTTACCGCAAATGACTCCACAAAGCTCATTTTAGCCTTGGATGACAGTTCCTAATATATCTTACAAGTGACTCATTTGAATATTGATTTCCTCTCCTTATGAACTACATTTTACAGGTGCCCATTACAACTAATTCTTGTCGGATTAGCAGACAGGCATGGCAACAGTCTATAAACACACACCACAGTCATGCGTTCCTTAGTCAAGTTAGCCATCAGAAAGGAACAAAGCCTCACATCTATTTTGATTCACTTCTCTGTGGAAGATTTCTAATTTCTATCCAGTTGTATGTCTGGTTTGAGCCAGCTTGGTTGCCCCTGCAGGCAAGTAGGTAGTTGTTACTATCTTCATTTAACTTTTTAAATATCTCTACAGCAATGTTTCCCAGATTGTGTGTGTGAAGATGCTTATAACAACACATATGCCTGTGTGAGGACCATGTCAGCACTGTGGAACTTGCAGTATTGTGAGTTTGATGACCAGGAGGTAAGAAGTCCTGCTGCCTCCCCTACCCTTGTGTTTGTGTCTTTTGCAAGAGTGCTTGGATGGCAGAAGAGCAATTCCGAGGATTCTCTAGAGAAGATGTGTTTATCTGTACTTCCACTTAGGTTTCCTTCAGTTAAGAAAATAGAATACCCCAAGACTTCTTTATGACCTTTCTGGATGGGGCTTTCTCCACTCCTACCACCACCCAGATGTACACTTTAAATGCACAGGCCACTTTTTCAGAATGCTGTATGCCTACTCTCTTTGATTCCCTGCTACTTTGGGATAAGGGTAAGACACTTCAACTTGTTCAGAAATTTGTCCCCATGACAGCATGGTCCAGTGCTGCTCAAATAGGTTAGTAGTGGGGGTCAGAGGCAGGACCAGGCTTCTAGCCAGCACAGATCAGTGTGGATTATCTGAAGGATCACATGAACTCCAGTCCCTTGGGGTTTCATACCATATCAGAAGGTGCTAACCAGCCCCATCTGGCAACCCACATCTTGCCATATGGAGCTGATGCTCAAGTTTCTCAGAAATTGACTTACTCACCATTTGCTTGTAGCTTGTAAGCACTTTAGACAACAGGCAAGAGAGTTCCCCTCAAACTCAATTCCTGTTCCCCTTCTCCTATAACATTCATGTTTATCAGTGTCATAACTATAAGTGATAGTCTGAGGGCAGCCATTTGAAGCCATTACAGGCAAAATTTACCTACCATCTTCTTAGCCTATCACTTGATTCCAGTTTGGAGAACAAGTACAGATGGCGGGCCCGGCGGGGATAGTGATACTAGACATTGTTGGAAAGAATAGTACCTTTTGGAGATACGTCCAAAACTCTTTTTTAAAATAAGAAAACTAACACTTGTACAACAAAGGTTAGAGTCTTTCCTTATCTATTCTCATTTGAATCTTTATAATTCTAAGGCAAAAATAAACCTTCACATGTCAACTCCTGTTCAGTAACTTTATAAATAAGTCTAGTTTGAGACCTTGCCATTTGAGGGTCCTGCCTTCTGCTCTCTGCTTTAATTATAGAAAGTAAATCCCTCCACCCCCACTGCTCCCACCTGACTCTGCCTGAAACAAGCCCTTCTCCAGCACGTGGGCCATAGACCCGAAGCAATTTAACCTCCAGAACAGATGCTCCATTGTCTCATGTATACCCTTGGGCTCTTTGAGCATCTTGAGACCAGATGATATTTTCTTGGGCATTGGTGGTTTGTCTACCTCCTTCCTCCCCTTTTATAAATAATTCACATGAGGAGTATTTCTTTCAGTGTAACTCTTATTCTTTTCTCTCATCCATCCTTTTATTTCCTGTAGGTGTTTGTAGAAGTCTATAACTTAACTGCTGACCCACACCAAATCACTAACATTGCTAAAAGTATAGACCCAGAGCTTTTAGGAAAGATGAACTATCGGCTAATGATGTTACAGTCCTGTTCTGGACCAACCTGCCGCACTCCAGGGGTTTTTGACCCCGGGTAAGTTTCCGTTTTCTTCAGTGACTTTGCCAAGCTGTTTCTAGCAGTCATGCTCTTAAAGGCAGAGCCTGATGGCAGAAAATCACTAACATTGCTAAAAGTATAGACCCAGAGCTTTTAGGAAAGATGAACTATCGGCTAATGATGTTACAGTCCTGTTCTGGACCAACCTGCCGCACTCCAGGGGTTTTTGACCCCGGGTAAGTTTCCGTTTTCTTCAGTGACTTTGCCAAGCTGTTTCTAGCAGTCATGCTCTTGAAGGCAGAGCCTGATGTGTCCTTTTTGCTTTGAGCTGATCTGTGTTTCTCATTCTTCCGCTTTAGGGTGGAAATACTTGGTGCATGAGCCTGCTGTGCTGGGAAAAATAGCTGTTTGAATCTTGTGCTCTTTGATGCCAGTCGGTGCTTTAGTTAGCCCTGCTCCTCACTACTGGGGCTCTTCTGCCTCTCCACTTGGCTGTGCTTCTTGTCACTGTACCAACTGATTGCACTACTGACACCTGGGGCTACTTTAAAGTAACGACCAAGTGTTACCCTGCTCCCTAGTGCTTCTAAGAGCATATGCCTTCATTTCTCAGGCACCCCAATTATAGAAATGTGAATGTTTGCCAGTAAATGTAATATATTAGACAATGAAATAGGTGTAAACTCTCAAATGTTGAAATGTATAAGCCCACTGCAGTATGTGAAGGTAGAAAAGATGTTTAACTATCGCCTATTAAGTCAGCTCTTTTCCTCCCACTCTCTTAAACAGTATCTTGTCACCAGTAACACCAGGCTCAGCACACCATGCGTTTGAGCCGCCTTTGGCAAGAAGCCTGTCATCTTTTGCTTTAAAATTATGAAACTAAAAATCAAACTTTCATTGGGAAAGGATTTTTCAGTTCTTATACTCTGTGGGAGAGAGGGAAGAATAATGTCCTACGCTGATAGAAAGTAGTAACTTAATTTTTTAGCGATCTCCATGAGAAGTGATATCTTCAGTCTCAATGAAAGGGGCATGTAAGTTAATGAGTAGAGAAACTGGTGGATTATAGACTGCTTACTAAAAAATGTAATACTTTTGTTTTTAAATACAGCTGACCCTTGAACAACATGGGTTTGAATTGTGCGGGTCTACTTATATGTGGATTTTTTTCAATAAGTATAGTCGGCCCTTCGTATCTTCGGGTTTCACATCCATAGGTTCAGCCAATCATGGATCAAAAACGGTATTTTTGCATTTCCAACCATGGATCAGAAATATGTACCGTTTTTGATCCGTGATTAGTTGAATCTGTGGATGTGAAAGTCTGACACTTGGATTTTCAGCTGTGTGGGGTTTGGCATCACTAACCCCCAGGTTGTTCGAGAGTCACCTGTTGTATACAGAGTCAAAGACACATGGATGCCAGCAAACTAAAACTATGTAACAATACAGAGATAACATTTTTCATAATTTTATATCATTTAACCTAAATAACTTTTTTATATGGATATTCTTGTTAATGCAGTGATTGGTCAAGCCTTCTAACTGCCCAGTTTTGGTCTTTTCTCCAAGTTAGTGAGAAGTGGGTCCTCACGTGGTATCAATTACTTGAAATAGGAAGTTCAGTCTGTAAGATAAAAAGCGTAAGACACCTAGTTGACACATGCTGATTTTGCAGTTTACAATAGCTACTTTGATCAAACCAAATAAAGTTAGATGTCTGTAGTAGTGTTTGGCTGACTCTTGGGGTTTAAGGCCAACATCTAATTAAATCTTGAGGATCAAGGGACTTGGGCATCTTGGACTAGGGTGTTTGGCCAGCATCCCTGAGCAGCTGCTGCTAGAACACAGACCTGCTACACCAGCCGGCATCCAGTTGGCCAGGACAGCAGCAGCAGCCACCCTGTTTCTTCTGAGCATCTGGCCTTAATGTTAGAAGGACTCACCCACAGACCTTCCATACAACCCTTAGAGCCCAAGCAGGTCCATTTCAAATGCAGAGGTAGAGCTTAAGAGTCATGATTTGCCCAAGGGGGTCACCCTGTTAGGAACTGATAAGATCTCCTGACTTCCAGGCAAACATTTTTTTTTTTTTAACACTAAATTGTGTTGCATACATTTTAGAAGCTTATAACTAAGATTCTAGATGCTGGTTTTGCTGCTGGTATGAGCTTGAGCTATTGAAACTCTGATTCTAGGAGAAGGGAATGATGTCCTAAGGATGGAAAGCAGTAACTTAGCCATCTTCATGTGAAATGGTAGAGAGGAATATATGTGAATGAATAGAAGAACGGATTATAGTTTTAGAACTGATTTTCTTTTAAATGCCTTAGCCATAGCTTATTCTTTCTTACCAAACCTTTAGGCATATAGATTCCCACGGGCCCAATCCAGCCACCACCTGGAACACAGTCACAAACATTCATTTACGTATTGTGTGTGGCTGCTTTTACGCTTCAACAAAGTTGGGTAGTTGAGACAGAGACTATATGGGCCTATAAATCCTAAAATATAATCTGGCCCTTTACCAAAAAAAAAAAAATTGGCCAGCCCTTGCTCTAAAATAGTTTGTCCCAAGAGATAGCAGATAAAAGTAAAATACAATGTTATTTCTAGCCTGCACATGTAAAATCTTTTTCTAGCCAATCTGTATTCTTTGCATCTGCCATGTCTCAACTCAAGTTACCATTCGGCATTTATTCTTTCCCTGGGATAGCAAAATAAGTTATTTTATGTGCCAGACATTGTACATGAATTGCCTTACTATTTTATGGGTAGCTAGAGGGCTTAATGACTTACCTAAGTTCATAATGAGCCAGATTCAAACTCAGGCCTGCAGTACATACCTGTGCTCTTATGCACCACAGTCTGGGTCTTAACTGCAAAAGAAGAAAGGGCTTTGAAACTACTGGTAGGGCTTTCAGCAAAGGCTAGACTCTTCCATCAGGCTGCTTTATACCTTAGGGATCACCCCCTCCTCAAAAAAAAAAAACTCAAATCTTGCCGCCTCCTATAATGCTTTCAGGATTAACCTTACTTCATCTTCCTTCTCTCCTCTCCACTTGTATGACATCGCCTCGTGCTCACTGCCTTGTGATGGAAATGCCCTTAGTAAGCACTCCCGTTTTGTACTAAGAACTTTGCCACGAGATTCCCTTCTGGTGATGTAATTGTTCCTTTTATGTCTCTTCCTGCTGTCCCTTCCACTTAACATTCTAAATGAAGTACTCGGTGGCTAACATCAGTTTATGTGACATCTTTTATTTTTCTTCCCCAGATATAGGTTTGACCCGCGTCTCATGTTCAATCATGGCAGTATCAGGACTCGAAGATTTTCAAAACATCTGTAGCAACCTCTGCAGTTGGATCTCTGAACACCTTTCTGATGAAGTGATTATAGTAGGTGTCTGTAGCTAGTCTTTAAGACCATGCCTGGAAGAGTTTCTGGACTGGCTTTAAGTCCTGTTCTAAAAGGCAGCCCAATCAGCTGGCTTCCTTGTGCAATGTGTTAATACTGTGAACCCTGCCCATGTGTCAGGAGTGGCTGTCCCTGGTCTCTTAACTCAGCTGATAACAGATGCTCCTGAGGTCTTTATTCTCACCATACTGTCCCCTATCTGTCTTGGCATTCCAGTTCCCCATTATTCCTCATGTGGTCAAAGTCTAAATTTATAAATCTATTCAGATAAATGGCAATACTTTAGGGGGGAAATGTTTTTGGTATACAGCTTGACCTGAAATCAAAGGACCTGCATATAGCTTTTCAGATTGAGCACTTCACAATCAAAAGTACTAACATCACATGGCTTGAAGAATAACTTAGAGCTGACTCATCTGATTAAAAACAAGTACATTGTTTTTAGGTTAGGAGAAATATAACATCCATCACAGTGTGATAAGGTCACAAATTCAAAATGTGTCAACCAAGCCCTTTTCTTTTTTTTTTTTTTTTGGAATTCTGGGCTGGTGCTACACTGAAATAGAACAGTAAATTTTTAGTGAAGGCTAATTCCAGGTAGTTATTGAAGGTGATAGCCATCTACTTTCCAGTGGCTGCTAACCACATGGAGTACCAGTTAACACCAGGGCTACTGAGGGAATGTCTCTTCTATGAACACTTTCCCCTGAGCTCTGAAAAATAAAGTGGCTTAGGTTTCTCAGCAGAGAAAAAATTCCAAGGGTTAGTGAAGGTTGTATTTTCTGAGGGCCTTCTGTAGATAGGGCTCTAGTTGGGATGCAGTAAGTGCCTGTCCAGCAGGGAGTCTGGGTTTCAGCCCTACATGAGGTTGCTTTGACCCTCTCTGCATTTTACTGACATTCTGTTTAACATATAAAAATTTCTTACAGTTGATGCAAAGTACCAACTACTTTACCCTACCTTCTTCCCTTTCAGATAAGTTCTTCCCGAGTTTTTGGAGTCTTGTATAAGTTGGGCCCCATTAGCTATTTTCCCGTCAAAACCAGATCTTGAGGATTCATCTTCTCTGCTTATGTTCATAACACCTACATTTGTATGTTTCTTGGCTCAAAGGCCAATTCTGTTTCCACTGTTTTCTTCACAAGAAAACTAATCAGTGATAGGACAGCAGGGGAGGAGGAAGAGTTGTGGTTTATAACCTGTTCAACTCAGGCAACAGTCATTTTAGCTTTAAGATCTTAGGTTGAGCTTTAAGCACTTTGTAAGACATGGCCATAGCAGCTTTTCTATCAGAATTCCAGATAGCCATGATGGGTTCATAGCCATTGGGTTTATTCCTTTACCTCGTGCAATCCCATTAATTGTGGTATTTAGAGGTGAACTAGGCAAATGAAATGAACACCTCTGCTGTGAATATAGGGGAAAAAATTCTTAAAATTTCGTAACTGAAAGCAAACTACAATGTTGAATATGGGTATTGGCTTCATTCTACACTTTTGATTCATAACATTAATCAGTCAACTTCTACATTAATGCAAGTTGACCATAGTTATTCCTGAATAAAAAGAAACCAACTCTTAACCAGGTCTTGTACTGTGATGTTATATTATTAGTTTATGATGCTGGTTCCTGAAAGTCGTAAGAGTAACACACAAGTCAGCTGCCAATAATCTCCCTGCCACACTGCTCTTACATTCAGCAGATTCCTGTTTGGGTGGTGGGGATGTGGTTGAGGCCCTCTCTGCACCTCTCTTATTTTTGGTACATTTCCTACCTAACTTTTGAATGGCTTCTAATTTGACTTTCTCTTGGACTGGCTTCATTCTGGATCTGTGCTAAAATCTAAATTCATTTTTTTGTTAACAGGCCTAGCAGACTACAAAACACACTGAACTTTTCAGAATGTCTATGTACCCACTGCAAGAGGCTTGCCTTGTTTCTCTCTTAATTGTACTGATTTAAATTTTGATTATTTTAAGAAGGCCAGGTTCTTATCTGTGTCCTTCAGAATAGACAACTCTATTAGTAATGAACAGAGGCCATAGGAATGAAGAGACTTTGCCTTATAAGATTACCTATTACATAGCTCTTCCTCAGACAACAAAGTGGGCAACACCTTTTGAATATCTCTGAATTCGACCAACGGTGCTGTTGCAAAATACACTTTTTTTGTGGTCAGTACATTTTTTTGTCAATAGAAATTGACAACACGTGGGATTTTGTACAAAATAGTAACCATAGTCATGGAAGTTATACCTTAATCTGTAAGATATTCTTAAACTTAAGTGTCTAAATTAAGGATTAGTACTTTTTTAACAAAAGATGAATTGTCCCAGGATCCTTATTAAGAAAAAGCAAAGGGTATTTAAACTGATCCACCAATGGAACTTGATGGGAATATTTGGGTTCTTTAGTTTTACCACCACTTTGGTCCCACTGAATTTTGTGACTTCCTATGTTCTCATCATCTGTTCCTAGAAGTTATTCTGTCCTGGCTATATGTCACTTTAGTCATTTGACTTAGAAAGTGCCCTTCAAAGGACCCTGTTCACTGCTGCACTTTTCAACGAATTAAAATTTATTTCTGTTCTAGTGGAAATGTGTCCTTTGTTTTAGTCCACAAGTAGTAATTTTAACGTGATGCTGTTTTAATGATTTAATCACTCACCTAGTACTGAAGGATGGGCCGTTTCCACACCGGTTACCATAGTCTTTACCTAGACAGCTCTTCTGTGGTCCCTGCTGACCGAGATCCCTAAGTGAGCACCATGGAGAAAATCTTTCCTGAAAAATCTGTATGCATTTACAGGTTTGGAGAAAAATTGTCTAACATTGGCTGGCTTTAAATTAGATAAACTAAGCTCACCTTTGAAGGTGCTTTGCCTTGATGTCTAGTCATGTGATCAGTTGCCCCAAATACAGAATGACTTCATAGGGGAGTTGGAAAACTTTCCTAAAAGTTAATATTTTAGGCTTGCAGGCCATGTAGTCTTCTGTTGCAACTACTTAACTCTGCTGTTGTAACATGAAAGTAGCCCTACTTAATGAGTAGCTGTATTCCAACAAATCTTTATTTACAAAAACAGGTATACCATGATTTGCCAACCCCAGACCTAGTAGGTTGCCTCATATTATAAATTATGAAGGCAAGTAGAGCTGTTAGAGTACTCCCATGAAGTTGTGAGATTACTAGAAAAATAGGTAACAGGTATATCACAATGCCTAGCCATCAACGAGGGGGAAAAAAAAATCTATTTGCATAGACTCACAAAGTGAGCATAAGTATAGACTCTACCAGATCCATTTTTCTAATTTGCCCCACTTATTCTCACTGAGACTACCCTGCCCTATAGAACCAAATTACCTGTGGAATATTCTTTGTTTCATCTTTCTCTACTAACAATGAGTTTAAAGAACTGGTCATATGATTACCCTGAAGTCTGTGGAGGCGAGAACAGACAGGCCCCAAGCTGAAATAACTGTGCTGAGACTGCTCCTGATGGAATTATGTAAGACAAGGTTTAAATCTGAGACATGGGCGATTGCTCTTAGAGTATCACAGAGTAGATAACCATTCTAAATCTTGGTCTTTGAAAGTTCATAACCACCTTCCACCCAGGAGACCTGAGATCCATAGATACCCTCTTAACTTGCAGCTCTCTGACTGATGCTGATAGGTCCTCACATGTAGAGAGATACAAAGGATACTTGTAATTAGTATTTATTATGATAAAAATAGCTCTGCAGGATGGGTTTTGTTTCTCCTCAGCTTAATTTACCCAGGCTCACAAAGCTAATTAGAGTCAGGATTTCAAAAATCTGGCTTCAAAGCCATCTTTCTGTTAAACTGCTATCTCTGTGATCTAAGGATTGTCCCCTCCATCATATTCCTGAGTGCCTACTCTGCCTGATAGTGAGCTTGGTTATGAAATAGTTATTCTATTCCTAACCTCCAGGACATTAGGTTGAAAAGAAAAAAAAACTTCCAACCAAGAATACTCTATCTGGCAAAGTTATTCTTGAAGGAGAGAAAAAGTTTTCCAGGCAAGAAAAACGGCTTTAGCGTCACCACTAAATCAGCCTTACAAGAAATGTTAAAGGGACTTCTTTAAACTGAAAAGAAAGGGTGCAATTAGTAACTTATGAACGTATAATTCTCACTGGTAAATGTAAACATATAGTAAAAGTAATGAGTTAATCACATTAAATTAGTGTAAAGGTCAAAAGACAAAAGTAAAAATTAAGGGATACACAAGATAAAAAATGTAAAATATGACATCAAAAAGGGAGGGAGGAGTAGAAGTTTAGAATACATTCAAATTTAACTTATATATAAGCGTCAGGTAACCAGAAGGCAAAAACCTATACTGTATACATAAAAGAATCTAAGCATACGCTAAAGTCATCAAACCACGAACAGAGGAACTACGAGACAGCCATAAAACAACAAAATGGCAATAAGTACATACTTATCAGTAATTAAATATAAAGACTAAATTCCCAAATCAAAAGACAGTGGCTGAATGGGTTAAAAAAAAAAGCCACCTTCCACCCCCACCCCTATCTTTATGCTGCCTACAAGAGATTTCAGATATAAGGAAACAAAGTGAAAGGACGGAAAGAATATGTCATGCAAATGGAAATCAAAAGAAAGCTGGAATAAACTTTAAAACAAAGACTAATCAGAGACAAAGATGGGCATTACATAATGATAAACGGATATATCCAACAAGAGGAAGAAACCTGTACCCAATATAGGAGGCACCTAAATATATAAAGCAAATATTAACCTTCTGAAAAAAATACATAGAACTTGTCTCTGATACCTGTATTTAAAGGGAAACTACCGTTTCAGACTAAGAAGGGGAGGTACCACTACCTTTCAAGTGGCATCTTGTCTCACTCCACAGCATGGCTATTGGAAAATAAGTCAAAACAGCTCCTCTCTTTGTACTTCATTTAACTTTCCAGCATGGCTGTGGTAAGCCCGTGTCCAAGTGGCTCCTGATGATCCTGTGAAGTGCCCCCCACAATGCATCAGCACTGGCCCGTGCAACTAACAAGATAGAGTATATGTGAGAGTGTGACTTCTGAGGCTAGATCACAGAAGACACAACCACTTCCATCTTGCTCTCTCTCAGATTACTCTGGAGGAAACCTGCTGCCATATCATAAAGACACCAGAGCAGCCCTGTGGTGAGGTCTGTGTGGTGAGGATCTGAGGCTTCCTGCAAATGACCAGCCCAACCTGTCAGCTATGTGAGGGAGCAGTCTCAGATCTTCCAGCCCCAGTCAAGTTCACATGACGACATCCACCCCAAGCCAACATCTTAACTGCAACCTCATGAGAGACCCCTAAGCCAGAACCATCCAGCTAATCTCCCAAATTCCTGACCCACAGAGACCACAGGATATGTTTAATGTTTTTAGTTGCTGATTTTGGAGTAAATTGTTATATACCAGTAGATGACTAACATAATGACCAAAGCTGGTTTACCAAGAGAAAAGCTGGGGCAAGCCTTTTGTCAAAACCTATCCAACTGTAGTTACCTGGGACAGGGCAAAGCCATCTAGTGGGATAGATACAACTTATCTCCAAAGAGGGGGAAAAAAAAAAACATCCTATGGACATTATATATTTGATGAATATAAATAAACACTGGCTCTCGGCTATTGTTACTAAAACCAAGTAGAAGCTGCTTTGTTGAAGTGGTTGCTAAAATGTAGTTCCCAACACATGTTGGAAAATATTTTAATGGATTCTGTTGGCTGGCAGGCTCCAGTCACAAATCCAAGTCTTCTCTCCAGGGGGTCTCCATAACACACAAGCTGGTGTGGGGGAGAGCAGAGCACAGGGGCAGAGCAGCTCTTAGCAGCTGCAGCATGCCAGGATTCTGGCTTGGTTTCTGAGACACCTGTTGTCCAAATCAAGATTATCAGTCACTACTCCCTTGCCTGGTCCCAAAACTGGGAAAATTGCTCAGAAGTGCAATTAATTCTGTTTCTGCTTAAGTCCCTGCATGAGCACCCCTAGTCCCAGCTGTTCCCAAGTAGCTATTTTGTGTACTTTTCTTCTCCAGTGCCTCTATCTCCTCAGCATCTCCCAGAGTAGGTGAGCAGCAACTCTATTAGGTCTGAGATCAACCTGACAACCTGGATTCTTTGAGCAATCTGGAATGAAAGACTACTGACCGAGTCATCTATCAGGGCAGCCTTCAGCCTTTGACAATGCTTTTATGGATGCTTTCACAGAAAACGGAAGCCCAGGTGCCAACTCGGGTCCTCTGCACGGTAGGGGAAAACAAACACTGGGGCCTCGGTCATCTTGCCCCTTTCTTCTTCCTGTAATGCCACGGAAGGCCCTAGTTAAGAGTTCAGCCGGGGTGAACATTGACTACATGCACGAGAGGCAGGAAGCTGCAGCTCAAGGTCAGACTATACAGGAGCCTTTTCCTATCTCAAAGCAGCCCCAGTGGCTGCTTCCGGACACATCTATGAAATGTTTCAGTCCCACAAATGTGCCCTGCAGCTGGGAGAGATACAAAGTAAGCTGAAGATATGGTCCAGTTCCCCAGGAGATTACTATCTTGGGGGAGGATTCACATGCGTAACAACACTGACCAGAAGGATGAAGGCCCCCAGATTGCACTAACACACGGCTCTCTGGTCTGGATGTCTCAGCATCTCTCTCACCTTACAGGGACATGACGGCACGAGCATCCCTAGTCCCAGCTGTTCTGAGAATGTTGGCGCTAACTTGTCAGAGAAGAAAGACAATACTCTGCCACTTATTTACGGAGAGCAAAAGGGAAGGCACTAAATATGATTTCTTGATCTACCAATTGTCCTGGCATCATCAGTGTTTTGCTTATAACTCCATTTCCTTCCCTGAGTTTAAAAAACAAAGTCTCTGCTTGGAAAAGTGTGCTGCTTGGCTATCACATCTGAGATGATGCTTCCAGATGAATTTCAGTGTCAACATGATTGGTAAGCATCTTGGTAAAGCAGACATTAACACCCCTGTAGGAACGAGAACTTGGAAAATAATACCACCGTGCACCATATCGGGCTGTACAGAGTACAAAGTATCTTCACATTCACCATCTTACTTGGGCCTCACATCAGCCCCGTGAGATAAGCAAACATCTTACAGGGGAAATAAACCGGATATGATCCACAGCAACTGCCATTGTAAATTTTAACCATGCCCTTGTTATTGAGCTCTAGTTTAAGTTCTTTGCTCAAATAGAGGAAAAACAGCAAGAATGACGCTGATAAAACATGCTGCCAAAAGACATCAGAAACCAGTCCCCATCATGTAGGAAATTTTTATGTAAGTTATTAATTCTGATTGGTAACTCTTACTCATCCTTAAGATCTCAGCTCTAAATCACTTCCTCCAGGAAGCCTTCTCTAATCACCTAAATAATAAATTCTCATAAAACTGTCCTTTATCTTCATGACACTTACCAGTTTGCATAACAGGTGGACTCTGGTTTCCATGAAGATAAGGGCTGTGATGTTCTTTCTCACCGTAACTACCCAACACCTAACATCCTCGGGGGGATTTATAAATATTTGTTGAATGAAAAATAAAACACTTGGTGTTCTACTCAACTTACTTTTTGTGCAAAGAACAGAATATAAACGGAAAGTTTAAAACAAAGGAATGGTTATAAGGATACAGATTTAACAGAACCCAACAGTAAATCAGATACACTCATTCCTCAAATATGATTACAATTAGTTCCAAGGTGCTGGCTGGGAAAGAAAAAAGGAAGGGGAGGGGAGGAAGAGGAAGAGGGAGGAGAAGAAGGAAGGAAGGGGAAGGTATCATAACAGTAATTCTCATTTGAATAAATGTAAATCCTACTGTTATTTCCAATATGAAAGTAAGCTTACATGTTAGAATATCATTGACCATATGCATTAAAGCTATACACTGCAGATAACTGTAAACTGTAAATTCCTGAGGGAACCAAGAAGTTTGTAGTAGCAGCAACATCAGTGTTTGTCCCTTGGCAAGCTTTTCAGACATTAGGCAAAACTAAGACTGTGTAGAACTCACTTTTCTGCACAAATTAACAGTACATTTTTTAAGGAAATATTTCAATACGAGGACCTTGTTTTGTCTTGAAATCTCTTCCAGCAGATCCTAACACTGTCCTTTTGCAACTACCAACTTTACAACAAAAACTTTTTCCAAGACCTGCTTATTGTGTCTCTGGCTTCAATAGCCTTACTTGCAAACGAAAATATTAAAAAGCAACCTGGAAGAGGAAAACACAAGGGTGACACAGGTCAGAAACAGTGTTCCTGGCCTCACTCACACCTCTACATACTAGCTGGTTATCGTCCTTGAAGCTCACTCCCTTCCCCACCACATGCCAACTCCCATACAAAGTTTATTTGGAAAAAAGGCAGTGGAACTTGGACTTTTCTGGAGGCTGAGACCCAAGTTCCTCGATTTCTATGGCTGCCCTTATATGCTAGACAAGCATCTTAATTATAATGAAGCATCTTAATTATTGATAATGCATTAGATGACATGCTCAATTTTACCTAAATATAACTGACTTTGAACGTTTTCCTTGAGAGATCACACATGCAGGAAAAAGTTGAAATGTTGGCCATTTTGAAAAGAATCTGAAGACACTATAGTTGAGTAAAAAAAAAAAAAAAATTGAAGCTGTTGCCTCCCCTCCTGCAATCATAATACTTCATAAAGATTCTAAGTTTTGGAAAGACACTACAGTTTGCTTCTCCAGAATTCATAGAATTTAAGCAAAATTTTTTTGCTTTTTTACGGCACTTGAAAATCAGAAAGTCCTCTAGGGCAGAGCCCCCTACAATCCATTTCAAAGGAACCACACAAATCTTAATTAATCCCACATGTCCATAAAGGGTGTCTAAATTGAGGAGAAGTACAAATGGGCCCAGATCTGTGCCACTCAAGATGGAGGCACATTAAAGGTCAAACCCATTGTTTAGAAGGTAAAAAGTATCTAACTACCCTCATTATAGTAACTCCCTCTCCAAAACGAAGCCAAAACCCCAACTTCTTTTGAAGTACACAGAGAGCCCTGATGTTTTGCTGTTTGTGTGCAAGCCATTTGAAACTTCCAATACTCACTTTTCTTGGAAATGGGAAGAGAGGAGATTTAGGAGTTCAGCTGCTACCAAGTGCTACCTCAGCCAAGTCTGAGAATCATAGCTGTCTTTGGAAACTATTATTTAGGATGAAAAGGGTCTGTCCCTCTACCCTGCCATTTTCATTTTATAGAATTAAAGGGAGAGATGTGCAAGGAAGGAAGGAAGAAGGGGAAGGGAGGAGAGAGTAGGGGAGAGAGAAAGGAAGGAAAGGAGGGAGAGAAGGAAGAAGGAAGGGAAGAGAGCAGGAGAAAAGAAACCAAAAACCACTAGCCCCAAACAAAACCAAAAACCCTGCAGTCCTTATCAATGCCCACACCGCTCCCCCTGCTCTTATCCCGCCTAATCCTTATACAAAGCTGCTCTCTTGCACACTTAAACAAGTAATAATCCACACAAGACAAGTGTACACCTTAATGACTTTAAATACTTAGGTTCCTATGTTACTCTGAAGAGGATCGTCCTTGATGGGGAGTAAAACTCCAGCCTTGCAAGTATTTGCTGGCTCCTCTGGAACTTTGAACTCTGAAGCTACTTTTCCTCTGGTGATTCCAGGAATTATCTTGCTAATTGCGGTGAGAACACTGGGTTGGGCTACCTGCCCTGTCAGTTTTGCCCATGCGACAGAACCTATAAATGAAAACACAGGCAGGTGTTTCACTCTGTGTAACTTGGTATACTATATCACTTGAATGGAATGCTAAATGAACAAAAACAATGGATGATAAAGCATTCTGCTATCAAGGCTGCCCTTTCATTTCCCACAAATCCCAACTGCACCAAAAGAGACCTGCTTTCAGATGAATTGCCCATTAGAGGCCACCCAAGAGGCTTTGAATAGGCAGTTTAATAGAAAATCTGGAATGCGCTCATAGGAAAAGGCAGTGGAGAGGCAGGGGCAGCTCAGCTGCCAGGACCTGGCTCTGCCACTCACAGGGAGCCATAGGCAAGCTGCTGGACCTCAGTGCGTATCTGATTCCTCACCTGCAAAATGGGGACAAGGGGGAGGAAATGAGTTAATATATATTAAGCTTTTTGGAGTAACACCTGGCATACGGTAAGCACTTTGTTTGAATTTGCTATTATCATATAGAGGCTTTCCCTCTTCTATATAAAAAAAAGTCCCTAATTGGAATCATCTGACACAGTCCCAAACACAGTACACAATTCTTAAGAGCTAATTTTGCAATATAAGAATATTTATTAAGTTATTGATCAGCGGCAAATCCTGAAGAGAAGCCTAGGGCAGAAAGCTGATTCCTTTTAAGGGATAAAAATTCAAAAACACTCCCCTGCACCTTGGGTAATAATAACCTATATAATAACACTCAAATTAGATTCCTCTGGATATTTCAGTGAAAAAGGAGCTCTGTAGAGAGCTATCATTTTCTATCATCATGTTTTCACCTGTAAAGGTGCTCCTGGCTGTAGCTGAAATGATTCCGCTCACCAATCCATGCAGCCTCGCTCCTTCATCAGTGCCTCTAGGGGGCAGCGCAGTAGTAAAAACACTTGCCTACAGCAGGCTTGGAGGCAAAAGTAAACCCAGTCACCGCTGCTGACCACCAAACACTCTCTACCCATATGAGAGAGTCACACTGGCCACAAAATACAAATACTTTATGTTGAAAATGGTCTGTTTCAAGGATGGGAGACTTCAGGGGCAAGAATGGCAAGGGGGGGAGGGGCGGGAAGAAAGAGAGGATTTCTAAGGAACCTACAATGTTCTATTTTGGTAGTAGCCACACGTAGCAGTCCACTACGAAATAATTCTTTAAACTAGTCACACACTTGAAACACTTTTGAATGTATATACATTTCACAATTAAAGTAATTGTTTTAGGATAGTATTGTACGGGCGAATACTCAGCTAGGGTTATTTTCACCAGAGGATAAAGCAAAGGAAAAATGACATTTGGAAGAACAAATGTGCCTGCTCGAACCTAATAAAAGTTGTCACATTCTGGCACATGTCCCAGTTTATCTGCAAAAGCAGCTCACCCCACTCCCGTGGCGTTCTTTTATCTGGCATATTATCATAAATAAAAACACACAAACATCAACTAACAACATCGACTTTTAATAATGGAAACAAATTGCCATTCCAAAAACAATTTCAGGGAAGAAAAAAATCTTCCCTATAAAAATAAACTCATCAAAATTATAAATATTATAACTTTTTTATGTCTGTGATTTAAAATGCTCCCCTGCAATACTTACCCCTTCATTTAACATCATTCCTGTACCATCACATATCGAAGAGAAAACAGTATTACAGCAAAGCTTAGTTTAATTTAACATAAGAATTTGTACAATGATTTTTAAAAATCTGTGGCCTTAGTGGCCCTCCTTCTTTTACACATCAACAATGCCGCTGCAGTAACCAGTGTTTGGGAGAGAACATCAGTCTTCAAGAACCACGAACTGACAGAATTTCAGTACAGTAAGTTTTCCAAATTGCAACTTGTAGTGCACACGACAATGAGCGAGGTTCTGGATAATACAGGTCAGGATGCCTATTTTAGACAATCTACTTCAAGTTAAAAAAAAAAAAAAAAAAAATTCACAGATACCCATCAGCTACTAGTTTAGGTTCTAACAGTGTCTTAAGCTGAGAAACAAAGGCTTCACAAAATATAAGCTTATTGGGATGGGTAATTAAAAGACCAAGTGGTTGGTAATAGTATACTCAAACCCGAGCCATAGTCTGAATAGTAAAACCAGTATAAAAACCATGAAGGCATTCCCTGAACAATAAAGGTAAAGTGTTGGATGACAATGACACTAAAACCTCATCAATGCACCAAAAAGAAGTTACATGCAAAATTAAACAAGATGTGCCATACATATTTTATACCTAGTTTTACTTTTTTTCCCCAACTTTCCTTAAAAAGCTTAGGAAGATATGATTGTTTCAACGTGTGTGGCACAGCATAACCAACACTTACATCTGCCTCCAACAAGACAGGTGTTCTCTGACAAGTCAGAAGCGCCCCCGAGAGGTAAAGAGAAATGCAATGAAAGGCACAGTTCACTTAAAAGGCAAAGAACTGAAGCACCTTGGAATTTCACAAAGAATCCATTAGGTGTCACCAAAGTGTTAACAATTCCTTGGGAATTTATAAACAAAAAAATATATATCTAGACTAAAAATAGACTGTAAATCCCCCTCTAGAACCACAGCACACCTTTCCCATTGTTTTCAGATTAGCTGCTGCATAAAATGAGGTTATTTAACCTGCTTTAAGGAAGGTTTCTATTGCACATGCATTTCTTTGGTTACCAGGAACGTGCACTTTTGTTAAAATATTTCTACGAGTCCCTCTGGTCAACTGGGGGTGGACTTTCTTTCCTCCCTTTCCTGCTGCCCTCCTCCTTACAGTCTAGTCCCCCTTTGGAACTGAGGGTCTGATAGTACTAGGTCTTTAATCCATATCCCTCTTCTCCATTATGTAAGAACAGACTTCGATTTATAAGAGAAAAGGAGTCGGAAAAGAAGAGACAGGGAGAGGGAAGTGGGGGATGGGGGAAATGGAGGGAGTGACTGGCATAAAGGTGTGCTGTGAGCTCTTTACTGGACAAACCTCCCGGCTAACAATCAGGGAGAAACTGCTGCCCTTACCCGAACTCCTTTTCGGCTTTGAAAACCACCTTGGGGAAAATCTATAACTTAGCAGGAGTCAGCAAATGGTCACTGCTCCACCCGCCCAGAGAAGCTGTTCCCACTGACTTTCCACTCCTGGAAGGCGAATCCTGGGGGGGGCGGTCCACCGAGGGCAGCTCCAGCTCTCCGCCTAGGTCTGGAAGACCCACCTGCCTAAAAGCGGCTTTTCTAGTCAGCTGCAATTACAAGTCCCTCCTTTTTGGTCTAGCTCCTACTTTCTTTGGCTCCATTCCCACATTTTACTCACGAAGAAATCAAACAGTCCTATAGTGGGATCAATGACTCAAAACTCAATGTTTTTAACTCCCTTACAAGCAAATATACCTTTCTCTCTCCACCATCGACTCGTCAGCCAAACCGCCATCCCTCAGAGTGCCCCCCACTTCCACCCACTCCTTCTTCCAAACCTGCCTTTTACTTTCTTTGTCAAGTTCCTCCAAAATCCTTCACAAATTCCTCAGAGTTCCTAGCTTCCTGTGCCCTTCAATTCACGTGGATGTTCCCTCTGATATTAAAAAAAAAAAAAAAAAAATGAGAGACAGGTAGTTTCAACATAAGACAAGTGTTCAGACAGGTTCCTTGTTAAGCTTTTAAAAAAATCATTTGCACATCCTTAAGCTTAACATCATCATCACATAATTCAAATAACTAAAAGAAAATAAGAAAACGAAAACCCAGAGTCCATGCTTCAAAGCACTCTAGAATGCTCCAGATGAGACGACAGATTCACAGCTTGCCGAGAGGTAACACCGCAGTCTGTAACAGAACAAGCTTGCAGAATCCCTTACAGAAGATGCCAAACGTGCAGGATGTTGCGTGACCAAGTTTGGAGAACTAAATCTAGAGATAAAAAGGGGAAGACCCTCGCATCACAGGGCAAGAAAACAGCCCTCCGAGAAGAGACCTTTGCTGCTGGTCCTGCACCAGCCCTGGGTGACAGGGTCCTGCACCATCCCTGGGTGACAGGGAGCCCCGCACTTTAATCGGGTTTCCACACCTCGCTGAGGGCTTCTTCCAGCTTCTGTCTGTAGGCCGCATAGCGCTTCTTCAGGTTTTGCAGCTGCTCATCTTCCTCCTTGTCCAAGATCCGCAAGAAATTCTGTAGTTCTGGAAGGCTGAAGGCTTCCCACTGTGAGAGAACGCAAAGAAGAAAATTGCCAGGTGTTTAACTCTGTCAAGACTTGGCAACGCTGCCCATGAGCACGGGGTGGGGGTGTGGCTGCCCTCCCCTCTGGGGCACTCACAGCTGGGTGCCTCAGACATTGTGGTTCACGGGAGCTGAGCAGTGTAACCAGCCCGGCCACCGCCTCCACTCCCACCCCCACCTCAGCCTGCCCCACTGCCCTCCTGCTCCCCTCCTCCCACAGCCCTCCAAAAGGGCCCTCACTAAGGCCGAGGACTTCCATATCCTGAAGTCCACTAGACACATTCACTCCTGATTGACCCCCAGAAGCATCGGAAACGACTCCATACTCCCTCTAATTTAAAACACTCTCTTCCCTCTACTTGGAGTCATCATTGTCACTGTCTTCTTTCTCACCTCTCACAACAAATTTAGTGACTTCCTAAACAGTTCTCCAATCTGCCTGCTTTTCTCCATCTCAACTGCTCCCTAGCGCCAGTCACCATCACCTTCTCCTACCCTGGGATGGCCTCCTACCTGGCCTCCTCACTCCACTCTTATGCTCGCTTGCCAGTCTATTCCCCAAACAGCCAGCCTGAACACAGAAGTCCCCCACTCTTTACCCACAATATCGTTATCCATGGTTTCAGTTACCCACGGTCTACCGCGGTCCAAAAACATTAAATGGAAAACTCCAGACAAACAATTCATGAGTTTTAAATTGCGCATTAGTCACTTAGTAGCTGTCTTGGTTATCAGACTGACTTGACTGTCCCAGTATCCCAGTGCCTGTGTTCAAGTCACCCTTATTTTACTTAATAATGGCCCCAAAGCACAAGAGTAGTGATGCTGGCAATTCAGACATGCCAAAGAGAAGCCTTAGAGTGCTTCCTTTAAGTGAAAAGGTATGTCTGTATAGGGAAAAAAAACTGTATACACAGGGTTTGGTACTATCCAAGGTTTCAGGCATCCACGGGTCTTAAATCATGTCCCCTGAGGATTAGGGGGTACCACTTGTACTCTTTATAAAATGCAAATCTGGTCGTGACCCTCCCCTGCTTAGAATCATTCAATGGCTTCCCTTTGTTGTTTCTGCTAAGTGTGAAAGATCCTGACTTCTCATACACTGTCGCCTTCACTTACTACCCCAAAGGGCTTTGTACATATTCTCTCCTCCTCCACTTTACCTGGAGAACTGCTAATCAACCTTCAAGTCTCAGCTTAAATGCCACTTTCTCTAAGAAGTCTTCCATGATTTCCTCCCATCCCTTCCCATCCAAGACTGAGTCTATTATAAAGCTCTCACTGAGCACTGGTAATCCTGATCACAAAAGATAAAAATTATAATTATTTGTTTAGTATCTCTCCTGCCTACACCTTACCTACACCGCAGCTGTCATACTTTTCACTATCTAGGCTTTGTCTCTTGCCCTTGAGACTCTGAGTTCTGTCTCCCTAAAAGCACCCACTACATAGCAGGCACAAAATAGGGAATTGTGGGGTTGTTTGGGGCTAGGTTTTTGTTTTTTTTTTTAAAGAGCAGTACATGTCAAGAAGGGTATGTGGTATCACCCTGTCCCACTCTGGGAGGTTTGTTTTCAAACTCCATATTCTCCCCTCCCAATAGGGGGCCCTAGTCCTGGCTGAGAATCACAGCCACGACCAGGGACAATTCTGATGGAGAACCTCCAGGGCCGTGGGGCAGGGCGAAACCAGGAGATAATCTAATACAAGTGAATAGAGAAGAGATGAAATAAAACCACCCAGTGAGCTCAATGACAGAAGACTTCCCAGAGATGAATTCTGAGCTCGCTATTAAAGAAAATGAGAAACATGGACTAACAGAGCAAAACTTTCCACATTAGAATATTCTGTTAATTTTTAAGTTGTTTTAATTAATTTTTTTCACATATGTTCTCTAAAATAAAGTAAGTTCCTCCCACTCCCTGACAGCTATCGAAAGTTTCTTCCCTCAATTCAGTTAACCTGAAAAAAAGAGAGAAACAAGAACACCATAGAGAGATCTAATAAAGCAGTTTGGAACATTAAAATACAATGTAAATTTCAAAACTAAGCCAACATAATTCCCTCCCAGACAATGTGGCTTTAATTGCACTAAACTATGTGCAACACTTAAAAGACCAATACCGAGGAAAATAAAACAGTGATAAGACTATGCTGATACGACTGGCTTAGGCTTTCAGAGAGAAGGTTGACATGTATCAAACTATAAAGCCAAATTAGACTCCTGCACCCAGTTCTTTCCCCAAAATGACAGTGAATTTTAAAAACTTCAGAACATCAGAATCAAAAGCAATTTCAAAAAAGTCCAAAATCACTATCTTCCTAAAATCCCCTAAAGTTCCAATTTACACTGACATATAAACTTACTATTTAGAAACATGTTTATATATATTTCTAACTTATGACTTAAAATCACCTTTTAAAGTCCTTAGTCCCGCTTTACGGATTTTAAAACCAAGTACTGAAAACATTAGTTTTACCCAAGGTCACGATCCTAATCTAACAAGAGAGTAAGTAGAAAGCAGAGTCCTGGTTTCCTCACTTTTAACCTAGAAACTCTATTCTCACTACATCACAAAATAGACGATTCGCACCACTTCCTGGTCCAGACAAAAGACTAAGACCCAGAGCTTGAGAGATTTACTCAAATGTTTTAAAGTTGACACAGGATCTAGAAGGACAGTCTAAAGTGCTTTCTCCTTCAACTGAACTGGCCTAAATACACTCCTCCCTGGAGAGAAAATGGCAAATGATGCTACACACACACACACGCGCGCGCGCGCACACACACACACACACACACACACACGTAATTTCTTAATCATCTGGGCAAAGAGGAAAAAAGATTCTACAAAGTTAAAAGTCTTTCCTGGTAAAGAAATTGAATTCCTTTTTATTTCCCTTTAGAGCAAATTAGCCTGGAGACTTTTGTTAGTAGCAAACATATGGAGAGTATCAACTTTCAAAGTTCAGCTGGATTTTAGGAATTCGGAGGTAGAAGGGGTGAAAATGACTCGGGGTGGAGATCAAGTGAAAAATTTTAATTCTTCCAACTCTGATGATTAGAGACCCATATAATGAGTGCTGTAAAAGAATTATATTGTAGACTAACTTTGGGTTCGTGTCTAACAATTCAAAAACACACAGAAAGCTGCCCTCCGCAGGACCACCTCTCCTCCTCCCATGACAGCAGACAGGAAGGGAGGCCGACACCCATCCCTCACTTTCACCCCCCTCACTAGTCCTTTTCAGTGGTAAAGTCACTAGACTAGAGCAATAAATAACACAGGGTCAACTGCTCTGTATCGTTTAAAGCAATAATATGCAATCGCTTACCTCTCCAATTTCATGTTCACGGAGAACAAAACTAAGTGTGTCTGTTCTTGGCCCGGCTACCAAACGCAGGTAGAGTGGATGTTCCCGGTCAGAGAGCTTGCAGGCGTAGACTGGCGAAGGAAACAAGGAGCATGTCACAGACAAGAGTATTGAATCACTCCCTAGACCACACACTCCCCAACCATCCCTCCTCCAGATCGAGGCAACAGTCCGTGTTATCCTAGCCAAGTCACCATCCTGCCCATCTTCTTACTAACAGCCTACAGTGGAATGAAATCTATACTAGCCTCATTCCAGCTGCACAATATAAACTGTGCTTTGATCAAAAAAGAAATAATCTCCAAGAATGAATTTAAATAGTTATTAGTTCCCAAGTGGGCTTATAATTAATTCTGTTCTTCTTTTTGGGAAGTAAGAAACTTAAAGAATCAGCAACCCCTTTAAAAGCAATAAAAATATACCATCCAAAGAACATGAAATCAGAGCTCTAGGAGAAAATGTCTCTGCAGATTTATTTAGAATTAGCAGCCACAAACAAACTAAGCAATCAGAATACAAGCTCTGGGGGCTTTAAGCAGCTATATGTGTCTTACGCTACACACAGACACACGGTACTGGCATTGCCTGAAGTGTTGAGATTTGCCAGCCACAAGGGTAATATTTCAACAGGGTGCTATTACGGTCAGACAGTACAGCTGAAATCCAGGTGAGCAGGCAAAGAAGCTGGCAAGATAAAAATGCCGTCTGGGCTTATATACATTATTCTGGCACTTCTGGATATAGCCGCATTGTAGGTGCCGTCTTCCCTAGAGCTATAAACTTGCCCACACTGCTGAGCCTGTGGCCTTGAGGGTAGGAAACTCTGCCTGTTCACCTTTGTATTCTGCAGGGCCCAACCCATGGTACGTGTTCAAAAAATATATGCATGCTCAGCAACTAGCTGGGTTCATCCCCATGCAACTGAAGGCGTCCCTACAATGTCAGTTAGTATATTTTCTTCTAGAGCTGCTTTGGGCTTTACCAGAAAAACTAGAGAAAGTGTAAATAGTTGATTGCTCACACACACACACACACACACACACACACACACACACACCATTTTCAAATTAGCACTTAGTGAGTGAATCACTCAATTATCGTTGTCCACCACCAGTATCAATTTCTACTCTAGTACCTGACCTGGGATATCTTATTCCGTTTCACGCAGTAAGTCAGTCAATATTCTCTTTTTATCCACTGAATGTGGATATTAAGTTCAGACAGGCAGACCTCAGGCTACAACATTATTTCACCCACTGTATGTGCCTCTGGGGGGACTGGTTGCCAAAATGCCCCAATGTAATGGCCAGCAAGATAAGCTGAAGGAATCAGAAGAGCCTGGGGCTGGGTCACGTACATCACTAAGTCTGAAATGTGTGTGATAATACACATGTGCCTCCCCATCCTCAAGGTCTTAGAGAACTCCAAGTCTCCCAGGCCACTCCATGTTCAGACGCTCATCAAATGTGGAATGTGCTATTGAAATTTTCAAGCAAAGAGGATTCTTTTTTTGTCCTAAAGCACATTAAAATAAAAAATGATTGGAAAAACAAAACAAAACAGGAAGTTCTGGTCAGGATGGCAGAATAGCTAGACCCTGTGCTTGCCTCTTCTCATGACCACATCAAAATTAAAATTACAGATAATCTACAGAACAGCCATCATTGGGAGTTGCCTGAAGTTTAGCTTAACAAAAGCCCTACAACTAAGGACACATAGAAGAGGTCACCTCGAGACTGAAGAGTGGCATAATATAGACAAAAGTTAGAAAAAAAAAAAAAAATCAAAGCTATCCCCCTGTGCACATTACAAAATCCTCCAGAAATGCTCATCACACACGGATGCCTCTGAGCTCCTCAGATGCACAACTGTCCAACTCAAAACTATGGACGGCCAGGAGGCATTAAGCACATGCCATGATCACCATGGCTTCCAGCATCTGTCCCTGGCTCTGACATAATTGACACAGATACATCCATTAGTCTCCCTTCTGCTAATGAGAACAAAAGACATAAATAAAAGCAGAGACCATCTGCATGCTTAAGCGTGGCAGTGTACCTTGATCTTCCCTGTGGCAACGCTTATAAAGTGCAAACTTGGCAGGGCTCTCAGTCACGAGAAACTTTTTGAGCAGGGCCTCGATCACTTCCCCAACAGTGTTCGTGCTGCTGATGTGAAGCGTGTTCATACAGCCATTGCTACTGGGAGCGGGTTTTCCAGAGTTGGGAGAAGTCTGTGGAGGTTTGCAGAGTTCCATCTGTACTTTAATGAAGCCAGTGTAAATCCCATTTGAATTCTGAGGTGGGAAAAAAAAGCACACACTTAGCTGGGCTGATAGTGGCATTTTAGAGAAAGAGCACATCAAAAAAAAAAGAAAAAAAGAAAAAAAAGAAAGCGAAAAACTCTTTCTCTTGTTCCTGTCTTTTACAGCTCTGCAGCAGAACTTCACTAGAGATTGTCCCTAAGGGAATGACCTCAGAGGGAGGTTAACGCACCCCAGCAAAGTGCTTCCAGAGGCAGGGTCTGCAGGGCAGATGTGGCAATGGAAGACTGCAGCAGACAAGCCCCAGCCTCACACAGCCTCACACAGCCTCACACAGCCTCACACAGCCTCCCAAGCCGCTGGAGCGGCATGTGAAAGGTCAGGGCCCGCTGGTGAGGTAATGACCCGCTGAGGCAGATGCTAGCCAAACCACAGGCTCATTAAAGCTTGGGGGAGAAGTCTAGGCTAAATGCTCAAAGGAAACGACCCCTGCAACTGATGACCAGCTATTACACAAAAAAGGCGGGCCACAATTAGGACTTTGAAATTCCTAGGTCAACAAGGAGCGCACAGTAAGAAAACAAGCCATTTTCAATCCTACTGGCTATTATAATGTGCACTAGATTACCAATTTTTCGTAAACTCTTTTATAAAAGGTATATACCATAAAGCACAGGATACACGATCATGCTTTTCAGGCCCCTTAAGCAGCAACATTTGTAAAACAAATTCAAGTTACAGTGTGAAGTATAGATATTAATAAGCAGTTTTCTTTTTTGTTTTAACATGATACTTATGTCTCCTTCTATATATACACATGTATTTTAACAGCTTTAGTGAGATAAAATTTTTATACCCAAAAAAACCTGTACATATTTACTATACACAATTTGGTGAGTTTTAGCACTTGTCTTAACTTATGGTAGAATTACTATTTCTTAGTTGCCAAAAATAGTAATAACAATCTTGTCTTCATTTTTTTTTTTGATGTTCAGTATATCTAGAAAAAAAATTATTGCAATGTTTTATTTAAATAAATCCACAGGTGTTATATAAAAAAAAATATGACACAGTTAAAGTAGGACATTAAAAACCTCTTTTATGGTCCATTATTTTTCTTCCCTTCCACAGGATCAATTCACAATACTAATTCACTTGTTCGGTCTTGTGGAAAGTATTATATAGCTTTTAAAATTTTTTATCTTTGAAACTTGGCATCTGTTTTAACCTCCACGGGTGAGGGGTGGAATTTTTCTACTTTGATGAAAACTGTGTTTGAAAAAGGAGAAAGACACATCCCTGCTGGAATAATGAAGAATAATCACTAGTCTATCTGCCCCTCCCCACTCCCTGGCAGACCAACTAGTGAGGGACCCACCCTTTATCACGAAGCTGATATTTAAGAGCTCCTCCTCCAGGGCCACAGAATTCAGTAGGGCCTGTTCCAAACAGGTCGCCCTGTCCTTTGCTGAACTCTGTCAGTTCACAGTCAATAGACCGAGAAGGCAGGGGTCCACATGCCCTGGAAACTGACACCAAAAGATGGCAAGTGCCTCGAGGAAAGTCACCAAATGGGTGGGCGAGGCACAGACGCCAGTCCAATTTAGAGCAACATGAATACTCTAGCTCTGTTGTCAGCTCTCCTTTCGTGGTCACCCAGCCCTGTGCGTCCCCATTCTACACCCTCACTCCCCACTGAGCTGCGAAGTGTTGGTACAATGTTGCAGAAGCCTGAATGAACTATGTGTAGGAAGCTAAATAGTACATACCTCATCTTACTTTGACAACCAGCTAAGAAAAAGTCTTAGCTCAATTATATCCCAATCTATTGGCACAAAATCCTTTTCCTGATACTTCCAAATTTATTTACACAAAACTTACCTACGGCCTTATTAGAATCTGAAGTACTGCCTATCTGTTAAATAGGCAATGATTATACACCATGCTAAAAATCCTTTAAGGGGAGCGGGTTCCCACAAAATCTTTTAAAAGTTAACTTCATTTAACGTAAAGCTACTTCGAAATACGGCTGTAATTTGAAAGATGCAGAAACATACCATTTTCCTGTCCTATCTACTTTGACCACTAAATTTTTGCAAATGTGATTCAGAAGTTTTAAAACATACAGATAGACTGTAATACCAACAACTTATATTTGTCTTTTGCCATTGATCAACCTAGAGTACTGCGGGTGCTTACCAAGGTCATCTTCAACTTGTCTGTGACTGCCAGGTTGTACTTATGAACTTTCTCTTTGATTTCCTCTTTGCTGAGGTGATTGTGGGTTTCCTTCTCTTTCTCCACATCCTAGAAGAGAAGCCATGCCAAACATGAGCAATCATAGAAAAATGCACATAAGCCAGAATTCCTGACACACAAGACCACTATGACCACCTATGGAGCACTTTACCTTAAAACCCTCCCCTCCTCCCCCTTTTCCTACCCCTCCCCCTCTCTAACACTAACCCTAATAGAGGGGTCCCCAACTCCCCCACCACCAGTCCGTGCCTGTTAGGAACAGGCCACACAGCAGGAGGTGAGCCACAGGCAAGCAAGGGAAGCTTCTCAGAGCTAGCTTCACCGCCTCAGCTCCACCTCAGATCATCAGGCATTAGATTCTCATATGAGCACCAGTCCCTGGTGCCAAAAAGGTTGGGGACCACTGCCCTCAAACATTCACCCCCTCTAACTTTCAAACTCTCCAGGCTCATCCATCAATTATGGTTCTCATTCCTTCAGACTACAGTCTTCCTGAGTGATATATCAAATAAAATTAATGTCAGTGGCTGAAAGCAATACTTTATTAAATACTACTTTGCAAAACTATCTTTGCTAACTTTCCCTTCTGCAAAAACGCCATGACCTGAGAGTACCTGCTACATTGGCTATTTCCATTTTAAACAATATTTAAAGACATACCTTTAGCTAAAAGCTTCTCTTTAGCAAATTTTATGACCTTTATGATCTTTATAGCTTTACAATATTGTACAGAAGTTAATAAATGTTAATTGGCACTAATCACTGACCTGTCAAATTATACACAACTACCAGAGGGTAATTTATCTTCCCCCCCTCAAAAAAAATCCTCATGTCAAGATGCAAATAACCAGACTTCTCCTAACCACCCACTCTGACCCCTGCCTCTCCACTCTCTGGAGGGGAGTTAAATGTTCTTATCACTATGAAGAATCCACTAATGGTTTAAAAGAGTTCAACCAGTGTATGACATTATGCCACGACCAATGTGACCTCAGACAGCCAAGCTACTGTGACCCAATGAAGCCAGGTATATGAGACACCTGACTTATATCACATTTAATTCTCCCAACAATCTAACCAATTAGATTTTATTACTCCAGGGCTAAGTAAATTAACCTGCCCATAGAAACTTAATTCTGTGGCAGTGATGGAACTTATCTGAAGCCAGATCCCAAAGTAACGCCAACCATTTGCTAAAATCATTAAGTATCTTCCACAGGGTGTCCTCACTTGATCTTCCAGATAATGAGCTAATTAGCATCCCCATATCACAGACAGGCACACTGAGACTCACAGAGGTCAAGTGGCTGTCCCAGGACAACCCAAATAGTTAACGAGACCAACCTAAAGTCTAATCCAGGTTTCTACTAAATCGAACAGGTGTCCACTGTTCCCACGAGGGTGTTTGAAAGGTTAAAGAAAGGCGGCATAATCAGATTCGAACCTGAGTAGCAGCTTGGAAAAGATGAAGGGATCTGACAATCTTCAAGACAAAGAGAGGAAGAGCAATTAAAGTCAGATGATTTATCCCCCCAAATAAAACCTTTGAAGAGATGCTGCTTTCCCAGCCAAGATACATCACACCATCCTCACAGCTGGAGATATCTAAGCATCTGTTCCCATCTACTCACTGTGAGCTACTGTTACATATATACACGCTTGGAATGACTACTACTACAAAACTTGTGAGAACACTGTGAGTATAAAATAGCTCTTGATCACTCAGGTCTCAGGTTCTTTGATTTTAGACCCTGAGAGGGGTGTGCTGACTATAAACTATCTCAGTAATTTTTCAATTTCAGCACTGTCTTGGTGAAGTCTGACAGGTCGGCAGTAGATAACTGGAAAAATATCCGCGCAAGACAGTATGGTCGTTCCCTAGCTTCAGGAGCCAGCCTCACATTCCCCTCGGAGCATTCTATCTGCCAATGTAAAATCCCAAAGCAATCTTATTTTTGGTGTCACTAGTTGGAGGGGAGGGGAAAGCTGTAGATTGAAACAACTTTTCAGAAGCTTCAATGACTATTTCCAAGGAAATTTAAAACACATGTAGCATCTCTCTGCTCGCCCTGCTCTTCTCAATCTATTTTGTAGGTGTGGGAGGGCAAAGGGTGCTATAGAAAGTGCCCCATTCCAGCAAGACGTGGGCTCTAATCCTGAGTCGGTCACCGATTAAACCCTATGGGGTTTACTAACCTCTCTTAGTCTGCTTTCTCATTTTCCATCAAATAAAAGGACCAGAGTAGATCATCTTGAAGGCGCTTCCTGGCCCAACTGGATAATTTTGAAAAGATCTAATGCTCTTCTCACTGGTGTGACCAATGGGGCAAGATGTTTCCATTTGAAGAACTAAGGAAACTAAAGACTCAGTATTAAAACGTTACAAAATAGCTAACTGCACGAAAACTGTGGTATATATACCCCAGGGGCTTACTAAATAAGAATAGAGAAGTCTAAGAATGAAGAGAAGATGGGGTGATGGGAGCAATTAGGAGCAAAGAGCAGGGTCAAGTCAGTTTGGTCAGTTCTTTTTTACTATTAAACGTATGGGGTAACATTGGTTACATAAATTTCAAGTGTACCACTTTATAACACAACGTCTGTGTCCTCCACTGTGTGCTCACCACCCAAAGCCGAGCCTCCATCCATCAACATATATTTGACCCCGTTTATCCTTTTCCCCCTTCCCCTCTGGTAACAGTCATTCTGTTGTCTATATCTATGAGTCTCTTTGTTTGTTCTTTTGTTGCTTTTGGTTTTAAATCCCACATACCAGTGAAATCATACAGTTCTTTTCCTTTTCCGTCTGACTTATTTCACTTAGCATCAGTGTGGTCAGTTCTTAACTACAGGTTTGGGTGATGCTTACTGGACTTAGCATCCACCCTTAGGCCCCTCACGTCAGCATTCCCAGAAAAATGGAGGAAAATCAAAGGAGAAAGCCAGTCTGGGAAGAGAAGCATTCTCTGGATCGTCCACAAATGGATAACTGAGACATGCTTGTGCAATAACCTCTCAGAGATTAAAAACCCAGGAAACTATAGGGAGTAAGAACAGAGAAGAGCTGGACCCAAGGACCTCCAAGATCTCTTCCAAGGCTAAACCCTCAGTATTAAAAGATCAACTGGAAAGTAAATCCCAGAGAAGCACCTTAAACCTAAAAGGCTATGATCTTGTTTTTTTGGTTTGTTTTTTTTTTTTTACTGAGATATAATTGACATACAACATTGTATTCATTTTTGGTGTACAACATAAGGATTTATATATGTACATATTACAAAATGATCACCATAATGACTTTAGTTAACACCTATCACCTGTTTATTTTTTTTTTCTTGCAATGAGAACTTTTTAAGATCTACTCTCTGATGTGATCCTATATTGTAAGTCCACTGATGCAAATTTGTACACCAAGGCCACAGAACCAGGCCTGCTCACTGACTAAATATTTGCTGAGCTTCTGCTGTGCACCAGGCACTTGCCTGACTATGGGGATGTCACCTCCACTCTCATGCTGCTTACTGTCCAGCACAGGTTGAGTAGGAGTGAGGACTGTCAGTCAAAGAAAAAAGGCTTCCAAAATGGTAACTGAGCACGGTTTCTCCGAGTGGAGGAGTCCAGCCGCAGGGGGAAAGACACAGGAGTCACAAGCTTAGGCCCTGGAGCGAAGGACAGTGGTTTCTTTTAGTGTCAGAACTAGAGAGTCTCCCGATTTGGAAAACTTCCAAATTATTTACCCCTTTAATAGAGACCTCCTTTCCTCAAACATAGGGAAGAATCCTCCAGCCCTTCCTCCAAATACATTGCCGTTGGGAATACAGGTGTCTTAGCAGGAAGGAGGAGAAAAACATGGAAGCCAGAAGGGAGAAATTAGGTACAATGAGTACGAAAGATGAAGGCAAGGAGAGGGTTAAAAAAAAAAACCTGTGTGGCGGGCACGGAACTGATAAAACAGAGGATAAACACTAATCTTTAATTGCGTTGGTGAGGAGAGGAAACGGCATGGGTGCAGCGTGCGAACGCAGCGGTTATTGTTCTTGGCAGCAGGGAGGCGTATGATGCCACCACACCTGAGCGTGTGTGTTTGGGAAGTTGCAAGTCATCTTTTTTATAAGCGACTTTTCTTTTTATACTCCCCCAAATCCTCAAGTTTCTCAGAGGGAGAGTTCTTCTACACAAAATTATAAACCTCAGACTCTTCTCTCACGTTTTCATCCAGCAAGTCCTTGAGGGCTGTTCTTGGGTTACTTCAGTTCCTGGGTGGGGTCACACTGCTGTTTTTTTCACCGGTGAACTTTCTCATAGGGGACACACCCTACCCCACAGACACACAGGAATCCTCATGCAGCATGGCCCAGGCCGTGCTAAACGAGTGTGGCCCAATCTCATGTTAAAACGGCTCACAAATTAAGATCCTCCAAGAATATATTTCTATAGACGTGGCCAAAGGGTCTGGGAATTATTTATACTCTTCTTGCTAACTTTACTGTTTCTAAAATTATGTCAAAAC